TTCCTTAATGGAAGTAAACAGAGAGCAAGATTAAATGATGTCTCTCTGTTTAAAATAACAATAATAGCATAATTTTTGTATTGTTAAGCTGTTATATATAAATAGACGACTTGTTCTATTTTTAGTAACACTGTTCTATTTATAGTATCATGTTATAGCCACGTTTTGGTGGTCAGGTTTGTATGATAAGACTGTCTTTAGGTCGATCCTCTCTATCTTTCACTCTAGCTATTTTCACAGTATTTTATTTTAAATTGATATTATCATTGTTAGATTTTTTAATTCTCTCTTTTATTGTTTTTTGTCATATTATCCAAGTTTATAATAATTTTCTGCTAATTTTATTTTCACGTTTGAAATTCAAAAGCTGCCATGTCCTCGAGGTTTTCTCAGGCAATACAATTTACAGTTTAACAACATACAAATTGCAACTATAAATGCATTAAAGTGTATTCATCTTTTTCTGTATTTTGTTGATTCAAGTTGTGTATTTTCTATGTCACACAAAAAATAACCTGCTGTTCAGTGCTATGAAGGGACATTTGAAGGTTTTTCAAAAGTTGTAATAATACACTAAATGCACAATTACATTTTAATATGTTTGTTCATAATTCTCCACTCATTTTTAACTTCATTAAAAACCCAAACTGCGTATGATCCAAGTACCGACTAGCTGGTGGTTTTCGCCCCATAGTCTCAGCCATTGTACGGGTGAGCTCCCCAGAGTTCCCACAGCAAATACCCAAGTACTTCATACCAAGACTGGTGCAGGACTTTGTAAATGATTCTATTTCAACAGGTGAGATACAGAATGGCTCCATACCTCTTGGATAAACTGGGTTATTTGCAGGACAGATAGAATCTGTCAGGTCCATGAAGCTAGGCTCCTTAGGGGTTGTACGATATGCAATGGGTAATGCTCCAATCTTTTCAGGAGGACAAACTTGAACGATATCGTTGACAAGCTCTAATGTCATTTCAGGTCCACGGGTGCAGTTAACTCCAGTTATTGTTACTCCTCTATCTATCAGATCCTTGCATGCTTCTCCTATTGGAACACCATCGCGAGTTCTCACTACTCCATCCTCTCCTCTAGCAGTATAGACAGTAAGTGTTACCACAGCAGGTAGGTCAAAACTCTGTATTACTTCTAAAGCGATTTGTGCTTCTCCAAGAAAAGAGAACGTTTCCCCAATCATGTAGTCAACTCCTTCTTCTTTGCTCCAGCGAACTTGTTCCTCAAACATGGCTCTCACCTTTTCTTCTGTCTCTCCCTTCACATATTGGTTTGTGTTTGAAATCCCTCCCGCAAACAGGAGGTTCTTCTCTTCTGCTACTTCACGTGCAATTTTCAAAGCGGTTCGGTTAATCTTCTCAATATCGTCCTCCCTCCCTATCTGCTTCATCTTCTCTCTGTGAGTATTGTACTGGTAACAAAGAGATTTGGTATCATAACAAAAGTAACCACTAAAAATAATTGCAATTTAATTTGCAATTAAGCAAAAGGCTATAACATTAATCAAGGCATGCAATCCCCATGATCCCATCTCAGGTTTTTTCATGCTGTGATCAATACTGAAAAATGACAGAACTAATCTAGATCTAGATATCTACCTGGAATGCTTCTATGACATCAGACCCAGCATGTGCCATTTCGTAATGGACACTCTTCAGTATTGCAGGGTCCTCCAGTATGAATTCAGGGACCCACACCCCGTGTGTGATGTACCCTCGACGACTGAGAGCAAGGAGATATCCTTCAGCACAGAGAATGCTCTCTCCAGCATTCAGCCTTTCCTGTAGTCCTCGGCTCTTGAGGAGTCTTCTAGAAGCCATGCTCCAGTTAATGTTTAAGTCTTTGCGAGTAGATCTAAAAAATAAGAGATTGGCATAGCCTAGGTTATATTACAAGGCTTGAAGCCACGCCTTCACTTTGTTTAATAGCTCTAAATTTAGACTACTCTAAATTGTGGTTAATGAATTCTGCAAAACACTTTGTCAAAAATCTTAACACTTTACACATTGATTACAATTGCAAGTATGTTACGCACACTTTATATTAAAATGTTAGTTTATAATTGTCCACTCATTTTTAATTTCTTTAGCAACCCAAACTGAGTATCATCCAAGTACCGACTAGCCGGTGGCCTACGACCCATAGTCTCAGCCATTGTACGGGTGAGCTCCCCAGAGTTCCCACAGCAAATACCCAAGTACTTCATACCAAGACTGGTGCAGGACTTTGTGAATGATTCTATTTCAGCCGGTGAGACACAGAATGGCTCCATGCCCCTTGGATAAACTGGATTATTTGCAGGACAGATAGAATCCGTCAGATCCATGAAGCCAGGTTCTTTAGGGGTTGTACGATATGCAATGGGTAGTGCTCCAATCTTTTCGGGAGGACAAACTTGAACGATATCGTTGACAAGCTCTAGTGTCATTTCAGGCCCACGGGTGCAGTTCACTCCAGTTATTGTTACTCCTCTATCTATCAGATCCTTGCATGCTTCTCCTATTGNGACACCATCACGTGTTCTTACTACTCCATCCTCTCCTCTAGCAGTATATACTGTAAGTGTTATCACAGCAGGTAGGTCAAAACTCTGTATTACTTCTAAAGCGATTTGTGCTTC